ACTTTGCGTATAAAGGGGAGGTAGCTTTGTATAATTTATAAAGGAGTCTTCAGGAAATGTTTCTATTTCACATTAGAGCAGGGAAAAAGTACAGTGTCCCTATTTTTGCTTTTGATATTCTGAAAAGATTTTTATATTAAAGAGCTCTCTCATTTAGTTATCCTTCTATTCACATCATGATACTCTTTTCTCTGTATAAACAATAAAAAATGTGTAGTTTTTATACAACCTCTAGCTTGAAAACAACCTCAGTGACCTATCATTTTTATCACATTTTGGAACATATCACAATTATACTACATTTTGGCAAAGTATGAAAAACTTCTATCAGTTGTAATTTATACTCCCATACCACCTAAATAATGATGTAAACAAAGCAATACATGCTTTACCGGTATGTGGTATCAATTTTCATAAATTTTGAAAAAGGGAATTAATATCGAATAGTGAATTATACTTATATATATATATATTTATATATATATCAATTTTCAAAGCATTTCTAGTGATGAATAAATTTAGAATGTGTCTGAAGACATGAATGCCCCTTTCAAGCTTTGCAATCTTCCAAGTTAAAAAGGAACATAACTCTAGAACGGCAAATTACTCATGCCCAAATTCGAAGTCTGTCTGTGTTGTGGTTCTTAAAGCATTTTGTATGAGTTTCATAAAATTTGCATAAGACAAAATTATGTAGGAGTGCGGAAACAAAAAAAAATAGCAATTTTCCAAGTTACAAAGGGGCATAACTCTAAATCAGTAAGTGACTCACTGCCCAAATTCGAACTCTATCTGTCAGTTTTGGTTCTTAGCATTATGTATGAGTTTCATAAAATTTGCACAAGGCAATCTTAAGTTAGAGTGTGGAAACAAAAATTGGAAGGATGGACAGAAGGACAGACTTAGGGTCAAGGATAACACTTAATGCTCCCTTCGTCTAATATCTCTCAAAATTTGTGATTTTCGGTTTTTAAACTAAGATTTTTCCTAAAATGCTTTGCAATTTTTAACAAAAAAATTATTTGCAATTTGAACAAAAAATAATATGCCATCTACATATTTATTCAACGAGTTCAACAAATGTGCAAAATTTCATTAGTTTCCTACCCTTTATTTTGGAGCATTTGCCTTTACCAAAATTTTTGATGGACGGACAGACAACATGAGCCCCATATTATGCTCTTGTTTCTCATGATAAAAAGGATATGTTGTGTTTATAAGACACTATACCAACCACATAGCCAAAGGAATTCTAGAGGTCAACATACAGTCTCTAACAATAGACAGAAGTCTTTACAATATATCAATTTCTAAATCATTGTGAATCTAAATTTTGAATATATTTATTAATCAGAGACAATAAACAAGAGGCTCTAATGTGCCTGTGTCACTCACCTGCATCTTCAACAATACCCACATTTTAGTAACTAGAGGCTCTAAAGAGCCTGTGTCGCTCACCTTGGTCTATGTGAATATTAAATAAAGGACGCAGATGGATTCATGACAAAATTGTGTTTTGGTGATGGTGATGTGTTTGTACATCTTAATTTACTGAACATTTTTCCTGCTTACAATTATCTCTATCTATAATTAACTTGGCCCAGTAGTTTCAGAGGAGAAGATTTTTGTAAAAGATTACTAAGATTTACGAAAAAATGGTTAAAAATTGACTATAAAGGGCAATAACTCCTAAAGGGGTCAACTGACAATTTCGGTCATGTTGACTTATTTGTAGATCTTACTTTGCCGACATTTATTGTTTTTTACAGTTTATCTCTATCTATAATAATATTCAAGATAATAACCAAAAACAGCAAAATTACCTTAAAATTACCAATTCAAAGGCAGCAACCCAACAACGGGTTGTCCGATTCATCTGAAAATTTCAGGGCAGATAGATCTTGACCTGATAAACAATTTTACTTCATGTCAGATTTGCTTTAAATGCTTTGGTTTTTGAGTTAAAAGCCAAAAACTGAATTTTACCCCTATGTTCTATTTTTAGCCGTGGGGGCCATCTTGGTTGGTTGACCAGGTCACGCCACACATTTTTAAAACTAGATAACCCAATGATGATTGTGGCCAAGTTTGGTTTAATTTGGCCATGTAGTTTCAGAGAAGATTTTTGTAAAAGATTAAGATTTGCGAAAAATTGTTAAAAATTGACTATAAAGGGCAATAACTCCTAAAGGGGTCAACTGACCATTTCAGTCATGTTGACTTATTTGTTAATCTTACTTTGCTGAACATTATTGCTGTTTACAGTTTATCTCTATCTATAATAATATTCAAGATAAAAACCAAAAACAGAAAAATTTCCTTAAAATTACCAATTCAGGGGCAGCAACCCAACAACAGGTTGTTCGATTCATCTGAAAATTTCAGGGCAGATAGATCTTGACCTGATAAACAATTTTACTTCATGTCAGATTTGCTTTAAATGCTTTGGTTTTTGAGTTATAAGCCAAAAACTGCATTTTACCCCTATGTTCTATTTTTAGCCGTGGCAGCCATCTTGGTTGGTTGACCAGGTCACGCCACACATTTTTAAAACTAGATAACCAAATGATGATTGTGGCCAAGTTTGGTTTAATTTGGCCACGTAGTTTCAGAGAAGATTTTTGTAAAAGATTACTAAGATTTACGAAAAATTGTTAAAAATTGACTATAAAGGGCAATAACTCCTAAAGGGGTCAACTGACCATTTCAGTCATGTTGACTTATTTGTTAATCTTACTTTGCTGAACATTATTGCTGTTTACAGTTTATCTCTATCTATAATAACATTCAAGATAATAACCAAAAACAGCAAAATTTCCTTAAAATTACCAATTCAGGGGCAGCAACCCAACAACAGGTTGTTCGATTCATCTGAAAATTTCAGGGCAGATAGATCTTGACCTGGTAAACAATTTTACTTCATGTCAGATTTGCTCTAAATGCTTTGGTTTTTGAGTTATAAGCCAAAATCTGCATTTTACCCCTATGTTTTATTTTTAGCTGTGGCCGCCATCTTGGTTGGTTGGCCGGGTCACGCCACACATTTTTTAAACTAGATACCCCAATGATGATTGTGGCCAAGTTTGGTTTAGTTTGGCCCAGTTGTTTCAGAGGAGAAGATTTTTGTAAAAGATAACTAAGATTTACGAAAAATGGTTAAAAATTGACTATAAAGGGCAATAACTCCTAAAGGGGTCAACTGACCATTTCAGTCATGTTGACTTATTTGTTAATCTTACTTTGCTGAACATTATTGCTGTTTACAGTTTATCTCTATCTATAATAATATTCAAGATAATAACCAAAAACAGCAAAATTTCCTTAAAATTACCAATTCAGGGGCAGCAACCCAATAACGGGTTGTCCGATTCATCTGAAAATTTCAGGGCAGATAGATCTTGACCTGATGAACAATTTTACCCCATGTCAGATTTGCTCTTAATGCTTTGGTTTTTGAGTTATAAGCTAAAAACTGCATTTTACCCCTATGTTCTATTTTTAGCCGTGGCGGCCATCTTGGTTGGTTGACCAGGTCACGCCACACATTTTTAAAACTAGATACCCCAATGATGATTGTGGCCAAGTTTGGTTAAATTTGGCCCAGTAGTTTCAGAGGAGAAGATTTTTGTAAAAGTTTACGGACGACGGACGCAGGACGACGGACGACGGACGCAAAGTGATGAGAAAAGCTCACTTGACCTTTCAGGTCAGGTGAGCTAAAAATCATCATTAAAGGGGAATAACACTATTACGAGCTAACTACCAAGTTCAGACATGTTGATATATTTGTAGATCTTATATCCTGCTGATTATTTTTTCCTTTTTAAAGTTTCTATTTATCTATTTTAGTTTTAAAGTCAATAGTCAAAAAATGCAAAAAAATATAAAAAATTATCATTAAAGGGCAATTACTCCAATAATAAGTCGACTTCAGATTTTGGCGATTATGGCTTATTTGTGGATCTTGTCATGCTGATCATTTGCGCTATACACAGTTTCTATCTATCTAATATTGTCTTAAAGATATAAGACAAAAAAGCAAAAAATTAGTAAAAATCATCATTATAGGTTAATGAATCTAATAAGGAGTCGACTGAAGATTTCGGCTATGTTGCCTTATTTATTGATCTTGTCTTGTTGATCATTTTTGCTATTTACAGTTTCTGTCTATCTTTTATAATTTTCAAGATAATAGGCAAAAATTTCATAAAATGGTAAAATTCATCATTTTAGGGCAATAATTCCTATAAGAAGTCGTCAGACAGATTTGACGTAAACCAGCAATAGGTAGACCTCAACATTCTAAATATTTTTTGCCCCTGGCAGATTTTCTTTATTTATAGCAGTTTTCAAAATAATAAGCAAAACTTGCATTTTACCCCTGTATTCTATTTTTAGCCATTTCGGCCATCTTGGTTGGCAGGCAGGGTCATCAGACACATTTTAAACTAAATACCCCAATGATGATTGTGGCCAAGTTTGGATAAATTTGACCCAGTAGTTTCAGAGGAGAAGATTTTTGTAAAAGTTAACAGACGACAACACATGACAATGACGATTGAAAACAACAATGGAAGCGAAGTGATGAGAAAAGCTTGCTTGGCCTTTTAGGCAAATTGTACAATCAACACCAAATTTTCCAAATCACTAAAACATGTTCATAAAGATATGACACAAGACAACCACTGAAGATGTTCACTACTTAGGAGAGACGCATGAAAATATGGTGGCATGAAAGGTCATGAAATTCTGGTGTTTGTTATATTTCTACCATTGCCTTTTTATATGTTTCAGTATTTCTTGTGATTTCATCTTATTAATGACACCATCTGTCCAATCCCCTTTTTTATAAAATGAATTAAGTACTGGATAATTATTAAGTTAATATACATCTATTATATTTTTGTTATGGTTAAATTACAAAATTTATTATTATCAAATTGTCTTGATAAAATATAATAAAATATATCATGCATAAGATAAATTATATATATACTAACCTTAATCAGAGACCTCTGTTTTCTTTGTCATGGTATTCCTCCAAGCCTATAAAATAATCATAAAACACCTCTTCAGACTTTCTGTGTCAATATACTAAATGTTCAAGTAGAACACTAATTATCTATGTTTTAAGTTCGTGGACTATTAAAACTTTATTGTACTTTGCCTGACACAAGTATCCACAAGATGTACATGTATGCTGTAACACAAAACCTGTACAAAGTTTTTTAACTTCTTTCTCTTATATTTCCTCACTTGTATCTACTTAAAACTTGGTGGTTGGACTTATTGGTCTAACCAAAGTGAATTAAAATAAAGCATTTTTTAAATAAAAATAAATGTGGATAGTGTCCACATGTGGACACAGATGATGCCCCCGCTTGCATATCATATAGTTATAAAGGGACATAACTGAAGAACGGTAAAAGTTACGCTACCAAAATTTGAACTTGATCCGAGTTTTGTGGTAATAAGCATTGTGTGTAAGTCTCATAACATTTGGTTGAGGCTAACTTAAGAAGAGAACAGAAACTAAAAATTCAGCAATTTTTCTATTTGTAAACATGCATAACTCTAGAACGGTTGTGTATACGTTTTATAACATTTGGTTGAGACAAACTAAAGTTAGAGAACGGAAACGAAAAATTCAGCAATTTTTATGTTAATAAAGGGACATAACTCAAGAATGGTAAAAGTGTTGCCACCAAATTTCGTACTTAATCTGTATTATGTAGTAATAAGCATTGTGTATAAGTTTCATAAAATTTGGTTGAGGCAAACTAAAGTTAGAAAACGGAAACAAAAAATTTGCAATATTTCGATTTATAAAAGGGGCATAACTCAATAATGGTTAAAGTGACACTACCCAAATTCAACTTGATCTGTGATTTATCATTGGAAGTCAAAATTAAACATTGCATTGTATAAAGCATTGATTGCAGTTGATTCATCTATAATCATGGACAAAGGAAGATAACTCCAATTTAAAAAATTACTTGATATTTAGAAGAAAATAAAAATTTTGCAATTTTCCAATTTATAAAGGGGCATAACTCTAGAACGGTTAAAGTGACGCCACCAAAATTCAAACTTGATCTGTGTTTTGTGGTAATAAGCATTGTGTATAAGTTTCATAACATTTGGTTGAGGCAAACTTCAGTTAGAGAACGGAAACCAATTTTGGGATGTACGTACAGATGTACGGACGGACAAGGGTAAAACTTAATGCCCCACTGCTACTGCGGGGGCATAAAAATCTAAATTCAAAACCTAAAATCTATTTCACTGTTAACACATTAATGGTTTCTAAGAGTTTTATATGTAACTTTCCCCATTTCCCCCAAAAAGCCTCAACGCTGCTTTAAACTATAAAGCCAAATGAGCTACAATTTAACTTGGGGTTCATGTGGATAATAGAAAAAGGTATTGTAATTGGCCAGTTATGGCTTTACGAGACTTGTTATATGTCTAAAAAAATTTAGGAAATCTTAAATATGAAAGACATTGAATTTATGGTTTTTTACAATGGGGTCCAACATGTCCAAAGATGTACCTTGTATCTTTCAACAGTATTTTTTTTTTCATTTCAATTCACATGATATTACATATTTAGGTACATGTGAATTTATGTAATATGAATAACAAGTAAGTTGTCTACTGTAAAGGAGAAGATACTCAGCTTTGGGTCAAAAGGGTCATAAAATCAAATCTCTCCTGTTTGCTAAATCACAAGTAAAATCTATGTATTTAATAATAAAACACTGTACATTTGGTTTAAAATATTTCCTGTTCTTGGGTTATATAGGTGTGAAAATACAGAAAAAAAAACTCTTTCCACTAATGATATGAAGCACAGCCATAGTCCATAATGATATTCACACATGGAGTATTGTGATTTTCTAGTTTCTACCAAAAATAATTTAGGGCAAGGATGTACTCTATCTGAATTAAGTCAAAATGTTTCTTAAATTTCTCTTTTTGGAAATACATCAGTTTAATGTTGTCATAGACAAAATGTGTCATATAGCTTCAGGTAATGCTATGTTTTCTCAAAGCTTTGATTCTGAATCTTAAATGTTTGTTATTAATAGCCGTATTTAACAACTTTTTGTATTCGGTAAATTTGCAGGGATCCCAAAGTGTACATTCTCCTTTTATACACTGCAGTAAATAATTCAGTATGTGAGCCAATTGAAACAAAGAAACAATAAAGACAACTATACCTTTTTCTTGATTCAAGATGGTTAGTTCTGTGGCCATATGACAAACAACCAGTTATTACCATGGAACCAATTATCCCTCAAGTACCCAAAGGAAGGAAATTACGAAAAATTCTGTTTCCTGTTTAAGGTCTCTACACTTCAAACACATTCACTTATGTTTATCAGATGTTTTATAAGTCAGAACATTTTGATTCTTATACCTTGACAAGGGTTTGAACTTAAAGAAGAGTGAATTATGTTGTGACATATTAATCTACATTTGTGGTTATCTATTATTGATGACTAGTTAGTATTTTATATTTTCCTCAATTAAAAGTATCTACTAAAACAAATGTGATATCAAGTATAAAAATGTTTAATACATCATTTCTCCACTTACATAATTATGTACATGTTACATAAGTTTCATCAGATTTTTAACTTGATCTAACAATTTCTGAAGATGGGCTGTAAAACACCTATTTTTTTTATTATGAAATAAAAGTAGATACATATATTGGGTATGCAACCCAATGAAACAAAATATATCTAAAGTCATCAACAAAAGATAGGCGCCTATGCAAAAGATATGGTCCATTGATTCTCCTACATAAAACAGGAATGATGATAAAACTTGAAAGTACTAATGTCCTTTCATTTGTTTCCTGAAGAATTATCTTCAAACAATTGCATATCAATTTTTAAATGAAAAGAAATAATTTCTTTTTATAACATATATTACAGTTTAGGAAATTGTTCATATGTCTTGATAAATGAAAATTTATCAAATTTTAATTATGCTAAGGATGTACTTCATGGTACCATGAAGCCATTTAAGTACCAAGCCACTTTGACAACTTGTTTTCTTAATTATTTTATCGTTATTGATTTTTTTTTCAAATAAATTTTTTTAACAAAGTTACTTTATATATAATAGTATAAAGAAAAATTTAGAAAAAAATGTTTCTAAAAAAATAAGTATTTTCTTATTCCAAGAAAAATACTTTCAAAACTAAAGTGTGACTTTTTGTCCTGTGACTTTCTGTCGTACATTTTTTTGAATAGGCCCCATCTTTCCCTTTTCACTATATCCTGCTGTGGAATGGTGGGTATGGAAAATAAAATAATAATTTATTTTTTATTTTCTTTTACTTTCCATCATAGCTTTGTGTTTCAAAACATTTATAGTAATTAAAACATGTCTTACCCTAAACATTGCAATTATGGTCCTTTTATAATTAGAGAAATCAACATGACATGTAGCACCAAAACAATATGATTTACCTGTAAATACACCTGTGATTGACATTTGACATAGAAGACAATGACTTTTATGACATATTTCTACTTCACTTTCTACATCATAACAACCTGCAAATAAAGTAATAATAAATACACATTGTGTTTGTTCTTCCAAGTCCATCTAAATAAAGTAACAATAAATACACATTGTGTTTGTTCTTCCAAGTCCATCTAAATAAAGTAACAATAAATACACATTGTGTTTGTTCTTCCAAGTCCATCTAAATAAAGTAACAATAAATACACATTGTGTTTGTTCTTCCAAGTCCATCTAAATGAAGTAACAATAAATACACATTGTGTTTGTTCTTCCAAGTCCTTAGTAATAATAAATACACATTTTGTCTCTTCTTCCAAGTTTTTCTAAATGAATTAATAATAAATACTGGTAGGTTTTTTTCTTTCTTCAAAGTTCATACAACAATACGACGTAACAATGCTGCAAGAAAACTCACTCACAGTACTGATAGAAATGCAACTTCATTCAAAATATCAATGATCTATCACAAGTAGTTCCTATCAAACTAACTTAACCAGGAAACTTAACAATTGTTGCTGCTATCGCTGCAGAAAAAGAATACCTATGTCTCGCCTTCTGCAACTGTCATCACAAGTGACAAAAATTGAAAAAGTGAAAGAGGCAGATATAACAGGGTTTGAAATTAGCAGTCACCCACTTGCCATTGGCTAGTAAATTTCAGTGTGGGCCCATTATATTACATTATATTTCTAATTAACCGGAAACTTCTGACTTTGTTTACTAAGTTTTTGTGCATGCTTCTTCTTCTTATGAAAGTATGCTTAGAAGACCAGTCCAATAAAAAGACATTGGAATACCTTCAAATTCAATAAAACCTATCCATTCCCAAAGGCAAAGGAAATGAAATTCATCTTCAGTATTTATTACTGAAATGCTCAAATCACTAAAATAAGTGATAATAAAATCACTTGTCAGAAGTACCACTGACTGGTAATGTCTCAAATTGTTATGTTTATGTGATGATCCTTAATGATTTTGGGTTTATACTAAATAAAATTAGTTAGGTAGCTCAGGAACATATATATTGATATATTAGATATGCTGTTCCCAGGGTAGCTCAGCTGTCTGAAAATAAATAGTTTTTCCCAATATAGGCATGACTGGATTTAAAAGAATATTCTGCCCCAAAATTGCAGGATTATAAAAACAAAATTTTGTTTGGCTATGCATTGAGTAATAAATAAGGTCATACTTTATATCAAAAGGTGAAAATGAATATTCTGTCCTTGAAAACCCTCATGTCCCCTTAATTTAAATCCAATATTTGTCCCCTAAGACATTCATTTTTATGAATTGTCTTATTTGTTGTATTTTAGTCGAAAGAAGTATACAAATGAGGATGGCTTTTCTATCATGCACCAGTCACATGTCCTTTTGTAATAGTGGTTTGATTCCGCCAGTGTAGTTTATCCGGAGGAAGAAAATCCCCAGTGATTATTATCCACCAACGAAAATTCACTAGGTTTTTCTATCCGGGTCCAGTGTAAAACATCCACCAGTCATTATAAGGTTCTAAAAAGATATATAAAATGTGGCTTTATAGTTTTTAGTGTATTTGAAACTTGCATAGTTGATTTATGTAAAAAGTGGAGAGTTTTCATCCAAGGAATGTTCACACTAGTGTTTTTAAACAAGGAATGATTACACTAGTGATTGTGTACCGGAATGATTGCACTAGTTATTTTATACCGGGATTAATAACACAAGTGCTTTAGATCCATACATTAATTGTGAAGTGATTAGTACTCATTTGAACACACGATAACGCAATAATGGTTATCAACGAATAAGATTTAAATAATTTTTCTATGCAAATCTATAAAATCATATCTTCTAAGTCAATATCAAAAGATGTTTCTATAATTGAAACTTTATGTAAGAACAAATCTGCTCTTTAAATTTGGTTTAAAATGTATCAAGTTCAATGTCCTGATCATTGATACAGTATTTTGAGTTATAAAAACATCCTCCTCTTCATCATCAATATTATTTACTTAAGATTAGCTCAGATTAATCGTTTTAATTTTAACCCATTTATTTATGTAAACAATAAACCGGTCTTATATAAACAAAACAACGATATCAAGATCGACGCTTTCACACTATTTACATCCAATATTCTCTAGTGAAAAACAGTTACCCAGAATAAATACACGGTGGAATAAAAGTACGCTTACACTTTTTGTACATTCTTCAATTTTTTTATTTTTTTTTAGCAGCAATATTTAATTGACAGCTCTAGCATGTTTAGCTACCTTCACTTCCTTCGTGTAGTAGCAAGCACATTTTGAACCTGCTTTCCACATTATATGCCACCGTTTATTCCCTTATTTTGTGTTTTACTTTTACAACATAAATTAGACCAGATAAGGTAAAAGTGGGAGTGGGATGTTCACAGATCAATATATGGACAGGGGTGTTTTTTTAATCTTAGCGGGACATCTGTACTCAAATTATATGTTTAGACCACACCCCCCCCCCCCCCCCCCCCCATTGACAATATGCCAGGGGCCCCCAAACTAGACAATATTTTGAGTGGAACAGGCAAAAAGTCAAAAATTAACCATGCCCCCCCCCCCCCCCCCCCCCCCTAAATCCGCCTCTGATCAGATCAGAGACATATTTTACAATAGAGCTCTGATTAGAACAAGCAAAACATAGCCAATTGGCAAATACAATATTTTCAAGCTGTGTTAATGTTTAAATGTATGAATGGTCTAGCACCTGATTATATATCTATCTATTAGTATTAAATTTACTGCTTGTACTGATCTTTATAATTATTGTCTCAGGTCGACAACATCAAGACTTCTTCATGTACCAAGACCTAATTCTGAATTTTTAAAAAGAACATTTAAATATTCTGGTCTTATTACCTGGAATAATTTACCAAATAATATTAAAGAAATAAATAATTTAGATACATTTAAGATCAAATGTTCAAACTATTTTCTAACTGTACAGAATGAAGATGCTCGATTCTAATGTATTTTTTCTTGAATGCATATGTACTACTTATCCAATATTTAAGCTGCTAATGTATAACAGTATTATGTATTTTATTTTGTTTGTATTTTTCTTTTCTTTTTTCTTTTCTATTTGTATTAATAGTTTTTGAAGGCCTCATGGAAGATTAACATGTAATTGTTAAATGTGTTACCTTCGTTAAATAAAGAATTTTATTTATTATTATCAGAGACATATATACACATGTGTATATATGTCTCTGTTATTATGATTTATATAGAAATTACTAAAAATATTATAAAATAGGATAACTTAAACATGGGTACATGTTCAGCACTTTGCTGTATGAAAGGAACCCTTCTTTAACTGCATAAAATGATAGAGCTGTAACCACTCAATTATATAACTGGTCTTCTGGGGACAAACATTTTTAAATGATACAAATATACATTTTCAGATGAACTGCAAGCACCTACTCAGACTGTTCAGAACAAAAATCCAAATTATGTTAAATATTCTTATGATTGTAAATTCTCTTTATAGTGTTAGCCTTTGTACATAAATAAAGGATAAAAGCCTATACTGGGACCTAGGAAAACTTGTGATCTGTGTACTACTGGCCAGAGTCTAACTCTTATTTATTTGCTAAGCTACAGTTCTGCTCCTTTAGCATTATTTTTTCCTTTAAATGTAGCCTTATGCATGTAGTCTCTAATCTCATGTTTTATCACATTTATTGATTTGATTTAAAATTCCACTCTGTGCTTATTTCGCATTCACATTTTGAAAATTAACAATATGTGGGGAAATTACGCTTATTGCTGAATTTATTATTGATTCATATTTTGTAAGAGATTAACGCCATAATTAAAATGGCAGCCGACTGTCAAGGTCGGTTGTCGCCAATCTCACCAGAAATCCTTGACGATGAAGCTTTAGATCCAAGAATTCATGTAAAATATCTAGCATGAACTTTCTTTATATAGTTATTTTTAACTTAATAAGTCTGCTGTTAAAATTCATTGTAAAAATAACAAGTTTTAAACATGCTATAATTTATTGCACCCCCTTTTTGTCAAAATTTTAAAATCACATAGACATCATTGAAGATTGAATACATCGCATCTTTCAGTCATCATAAGCTGAAGTCACAAATTCTTCAGCTTATACCTTGAACATAATTTATTTTAAGTTGGTTACATGTATCCTCTTCCCAGCATATACTAAAAAATTAAAAAAAAAAAAAAAAAAATCAGAACAAGTCAAACTATATCATGTTATGTTCAGTGGATTCTGTAGTCAAAATAGTTTATTTCAAGACTTCATATTATGAGGTCTTGAAAGACTATTTTTATTTTTTGCTTTGATGGCTTTCTGCGACGCCATAAAAAGGTGTCAAAGCAAAAAATAGCCTTTCAAGACATAATTATAATCAAATCAAATCAAATAATTATAGATACAGTATATTCTCAATAATTCTGTAGATTTCCTTTTTAAAATTACATCTTACATGTATGCCTTTTACACTGGTAAATAACTTATATGAATGTATTTATCATGTTAATTGGTGGCAACTTCTAGTAGCTAGCGATCTCTAAAAGCACTTTGAATGACATCCTTTGTTCATGTTGTTCACAAACTAAGCAGCACAATTGACCTCTAAGAAGTACTTTAAGTGCACAAAGGACCTTAAATTGTATATTAAATGGGAAAATAAGTCTTTCATACAAATTTAAACTCAGTGCCCATTCCCTAGCAATTGAAAGGGGGCATTATACCAATATTGAAAGAAAACAATGCATTTGCCTATCCTGTAATAGACAAGAAATTGAGGATGAATGCCATTTCTTCTCAGTCTGTCCATGTTATATATCATTGAGGGATACCTATATACAAAAAAATAATACTAATCTTAATTTCAATTTTATTAATATTAATTATAACACTGAGGCATATGAACACACTTTTGAATAGCAGTTTGCCAGTCATTATAAAAATCACCACAAAATATATCAATGATTGTCTTTTATCATGTTTATTGAGAAAATCTGTATAATTTTTATTCTTTTATTTTTTTATATGTATCCTCTTTTGTTCATGGACATTAATAATTGTTTATCTGTAAATACACACATATTTGTAGTCTTCTTTTTCGTGTGAATACCACTGCCACTCTTCTTTAATTATTGTCAATTTATTATTTCAATTGAACTATACTGTATGCCATAACCATTTAATGTAAATGTGTTTGTGCTAATAAATATTGTCTATTGTCATGATTGTCAACTATTGTCTACAAAAATATGTATTCTTATTAAAAACTTGCGTTCAATCTGCAAGTTGAAGTCTTGCGAATCCATTTTCAGAAATTGGTACACTAATATACATAAAATTACTACATATATTCAAGAAAATTTATATTAGAAGATTTAACGCATACTTAGGTATTTAAAAATATTGCAAAACATGAACACAGGAACATTAAACATGGAAAAAAATAAAGCAAACATTTCTGTTTGCTATGGAGATTCCGTATATCATCAAGTTATCGAAATTCCAGTGGGGACTAACTGTGCACCACTTATTGCGGACCTGGTTCTGTATTGTTATGAATTACAATTTATGACTAAAATCAGCAAAGACCCATCGAAACAACATCTGATACAAAAATTTAATAACACTTTAAGATATTTGGATGATATGTATTGGCTCTCAATAATGATGACTTCAGTATGTATACTAAAGAGATTTATCCTGCTGAACTGACTTTAAATAAAGCTAATACTAACAATGAAGACTGCCCTTTCCTGGATCTTGATATCTATATCTTTAACGGGAAGCTTAATACCAAAATTTACGATAAAAGAGATAATATTTCATTTCCTATTGTTAATTATCCATTTTTAGATGGTGACGTTTCCTTGTCACCATCTTATAGTGTTTATATATTTCAACTTATTCGATTCGCTCGTGTATGTAACAATGTATTTTATTTTAACGAAAGAAATCTCTGTATTACTGAAAAATTATTACACCAGGGTTTTTCGATATTAAAACTAGTCAAAACATTTACTTAATTTTATATCAGTGACCCCCGAGGATAGTAAACTTGGAATTGATAGTAAATAGCAAATACAAGTTATTCATAGTATACAGAAAAACGCGAAAACTATTAATAGAAAACATAAAAATAACGGATTTTGGAAAAAAAGGGGAGGGCTAAAAAAAAATTGTCCTGTCCCCAAGTACCTATGCATGTATTTGCATTCAGGTATCACAGATCAAATCTATTCGTTCATTGTGTGTTAATTTACGTTTTTTGATTGAGTTAAGCCTTCCAATTGATATTTTATAGTGTGTCTTTCTGTGTTGTGATGTTATACTATTGTTTCAGAAAAAGGGAGAAGGTTTGGTACCATTAAAATGTTTAATCCTGCTGCAAATGTTTGCACCTGTCCTAAGTCAGGAATCTGATGTGACAGTAGTTGTCGTCTGTTTTTGTAGTTCATACGTGTTTCTCGTTTCTCGTTTTTATTTAGAATAGACCGTTGGTTTTTCCGTTTGAATGGTTTTACACTAGTAATTTTTGGGGCACTTTATAGCTTGCTGTTCGGTGTGAGCCAATGCTCCGTGTTGAAGGCCGTACCTTGACCTATAATGGTTTACTTTTATAAATTGTTACTTGGATGGAGAGTTGTCTCATTGGCACTCATACCACATCTTCCTATATCTATTGGTTGTGTATAAAGTAGGGATAAAGACTTAGTGGTCAACTCAAAAATTACTCAGTCTGCATCTTTAATCTTTTTGTACTTTATCTTGCAGAAACTGATTCAAATAAAAGAAAATGAAAAGAAATCTAAATATTCTCAAATCTCTTGTATATGAGAATCAATTTTGTCAACTTTAAATCACATTAAGATCGACTTTTTCGGCTAAAAACTGTAAATGTATAAAGAAATAAATAAGAGACAAAAATTCATATATTATTTTTACAATAATTAAAGAACATTACATTCAGATACATCGATCTAAGACCAGAATATCGATCCCCTTCCAAAATTCATCAGAATTTATTTAAGCCTTAATAAGCTAAACAAGAGTTGTATCCCTTGGTCTGTCAAACTTCTGGTATTCATTTGAGTCGAGGTATGGGTATCTCAAAATATTTCTCTGGTCCTACTGGCTTCGAGATAACGAGAGTCGACTGTACTATACATGAAGATGAAAGTCAAATTCAGGTATTTCAGTCTGTGCTCATAGAGATTGGCATTCTGTGAAACCTTTGTGTGTGAAAATTAGTGTATTTTTGTTTATTAATACTAATTATACTCAGATTAGTTATTTTTAATTTGATATTTTAGGGTGAATTAGAGAGGTTGAATAAGGCATCTGATGATATAAACAAACTGGAACTAGAGTTAGATGTAAGTTCTTTAGACTTCTTTGACCCCATGTACAGTGGTCAATTACCAGTATGGGTTTAATACTAAAGGAAATTTAATCCTGTCATTAACGATCTTTTGAATAAGAAAGAATATTAATAATAGCAAAAAAAACAGTCTCCTGAAAAACTAGAAATAAAAAAAAAAAACAACCAGTTCCCCTGCATCTTCACATCTAACTGGTAACAGACAATTTGTCAATAAATTTAAAAAGGTGGAAAATGATACTTTATGTAAAAAATAGTTAGTTCGAAAATATACCTGGAAAGCAGTAATAGTGGTTATGGATATCAATATGGTTTCAAAACTTGCCCTTTCAATTGATAGTTTGTCCTAATCTTGTGGTGTTATATTACTGTCCAAATATGGGGAGAGTTTAACACTCATAAACACATCAAACCTCTCTACAATACATGTTCGTGGAAACCTAAGAGCCAATCATTGTGGATGGTTACCATCTGCCGTAACTGTTGTTTGCTAAATGTTATTCACTTAAATCTGGCCATCAGGTTTTGTCTCACCTGCAAAGATAGTCTCATAATAGAGACTTGCTGTTTCCGATGACTGCAACTATAACATGTTTAGAATTGTAGTAATCAGTCAAATCATAGGTAGTTTCATTTTCAGGATGAAAGGGCTGCATTTAGACAGGCACTATCAGATACCACACATAAACTCAATACTCTGGCAAAGAAGCTCGGATCTTGTGTTGAAAAAGCAAGACCATACTATGACCAAAGACATAAAGTGTTGGAGGTTTGATTTTATTGATTGAAATTTTTTAATGTTTTATAAATTTTCTTGTTAATTATTCTTTAGAATGAATTATAATTAATTTTATATTATAAAAGAGTGTCTTGCAGATTTTGAACAATGGAAATATGAGGGTTGATTATTTGGTTCTTTGTTCATATAACATCACAGTTTAAATGAGTTTGACTGTCCCTCTGGTATCTTTCGTCCCTCTTTTAAAGATTTTTCATGTTTAAGACTTCAAATACAAAAAACTTCTTTTGTTTTACAAATGAGTTTTAACATTTATAATGACTTATAACTCATTAGAAACTCAATTCAGGTTAAAATTATCTTGTCAACATTTCAGAGGCAGAAGCAAATTGTTCAAATCACAAATAAAGAATTTATAAAAACCCAATTGCAACAATTTGTCATACAGATAAAAATGTTTGTAATTTCCCATATAGATTAAATGCATTGCAATTTGCAGGCTCACTCAGAGGCACAGAAGGTTGCTATACGTTTTGAACGAGCTTGTAGCATGCATGAAGCAGCAAAGGAGATGGTGCAGTTAGCAGAACAAGGATACATGAAAGGAGAAGCTTCCACAGATCCAGCCTGGCAGGAGATGCTTAATCATGCTACTATGAAGGTTTATTTCTGCTATAATACTGAATATTTAATTTCCTGCAACAAAAGATAAAAATCACATTTACTAATTACATATATTGGTAGTTCATACTCAACTGTAGTGAGATATAACTAGAGGCTCTCAAGAGCCTGTGTCGCTCACCTGACTCTACTTTGGTTTTAGAAATCATGTAAAGATAGATAAAAATCATAACAGATACCCAAATAATGATTGAGGCCAAATTTTGATTAATATTGGTCCCGTTATTTAATAAAATATCCTGGTGGCCCTCTTGAACAGTAAATCGGCAACAAAGTAGCAACACTTGGTGAGCACTTCATAAGGAACATTCATGCCATGTTTGGTTTCATTCCATTCAGTGGTACTCTAAAAGAAGACATTTGTATGTATTTCCCATAGGGTCCTATGTTAAACTAAGCCCCCCCCCTCCCCACCCTAGCGGCCATCTTGGATGATGGATCGACTGCAAAGTAACAACACTTGGTCAGCAACTCATAAGGAACATTCATGCCATGTTTGGTTCAATTCCATTCAGTGGTTCTCTAAAAGAAGACAATTGTATGTATTTCCCATAGGGTCCTATGTTAAACTAAGTCCCCCGCTGTCGGCCATCTTGGATGATGGATCGGCTTCAAAGTAACAACACTTGGTCAGCATCTCATAAGGAAGATTCATGCCATGTTTGGTTTCATTCCATTCAGTGGTTCTCTAAAAAATGACATTTGTATGTATTTCCCAATTATTAGGTCCTTTGTTAAACTAAGTCCCCTGCTGTCGGCCATCTATGATGATGGACCGACTGCAAAGTAACAACACTTGGTCAGTACCTCATAAGGAACATTCATGCCATGTTTGGTTTCATTCCATTCAGTGGTTCGCTAAAAGAAGACATTTGTATGTATTTCCCATAGGTCCTTTGTTAAACTAAGTCCCCTGCTGTCGGCCATCTTGGATGATGGACCGACTGCAAAGTAACAACACTTGGTCAGCACCTCATCAGGAACATTCATGCCATGTTTGGTTTCATTCCATTCAGTGGTTCTCTAAAAGAAGACATTTGTATGTATTTCCCATAGGGTCCTATGTTAAACTAAGTCCCCCGCTGGCGGCCATCTTGGATGATGGAACGGCTACAAAGTAACAACACTTGGTCAGAACCTCATAAGGGACATTCATGCCATGTTTGGTTTCATTCCATTCAGTGGTTCTCTAAAAGAAGACATTTGTATGTATTTCCCATAGGGTCCTATGTTAAACTAAGTCCCCTGCTGGTGGCCATCTTGGATGATGGACCGACTGCAAAGTAACAACACTTGGTCAGCATCTCATAAGGAACATTCATGCCATGTTTGGTTTCATTCCATTCAGTGGTTCTCTAAAAGAAGACATTTTTATGTATTTCCCAAAGGGTCCTATGTTAAACTAAGTCCCCCACTGGCGGCCATCTTGGATGATGGATCGGCTACAAAGTAACAACACTTGGTCAGCACCTCATAAGGAAAATTCATGCCATGTTTGGTTTCATTCCATTCAGTGGTTCTCTAAAAGAAGACATTTGCATGTATTTCCCATAGGGTCCTATGTTAAACTAAGTTCCCCGATGGCGGCCATCTTGGATGATGGATCGGCTACAAAGTAACAACACATGGTCAGCACCTCATAAGGAACATTCATGCCATGTTTGGTTTTTTTCCATTCAGTGGTTCTCTAAAAGAAGTCATTTGTATGCATTTCCCATAGGGTCCTATGTTAAACTAAGTCCCCCACTGGTGGCCATCTTGGATGATGGATCGGCTACAAAGTAACAACACTTGGTCAGCACCTCATAAGGAACATTCATGCCATGTTTGGTTTCATTCCATTCAGTGGTTCTCTAGAAGAAGTTCAAAATGTAAAAAGTTAACGCCGACGACGACCGACGACGACGGACGACGACGGATGACGGACGACGGACGCCAAGTGATGAGAAAAGCTCACTTGGCCCTTCGGGCCAGGTGAGCTAAAAAATCAACCTCTGAATCGAGTGTGATACATTATTTCGGCTCTCCAGACAGTGGAATCTAAAAAAATGAAAATTAACTATCTTGAGTTAAGAAATATAGTTTTGCTTGAAATACAGTGATGGAACCTGTTTCTTTTGATTTGTTAGATAATACATGTATGTAAGCAGCTTTCTTTGTGATGTCATTAGGCATGGTTGCCTTTTCCTGTTAAGTTACAAAAGCCAAATCAAAGGAAAGCAAGCACTTTGATGTCATAATTGAATGAGAACTCTACATGACCTCACCTCCTTGATCAAGTTAACGACATGTTGATTGTTGATTTTTAAAAAAAATGTAGAAAATGACTAAGAATTAGAAAAAAATGTGTTTGTATATAGTAAGAATTTGTTGATTTATCAGGAAAGTAACCAAAGAATACATTAATTTATTCAAAGATGCACTTTCATAAATTTCATGAAATCTTTGTCAAATTTTTAAAGAGCATTGAATAAACTTTAGGAAATTTGTAGGAAATTTGAAGTGCTAGAAGTACAGCCTGCAATTAGATTTTCCAGTAGGTGAAATAATGCAAATTTCTTGAACAAGTCTGAGAACTCTGCATGATCTCATCTCCTACTTCACACATGGGAAATTTATTGTATAGTCTAATTGGTATAGTTGGTAATTTCAAAGTTGTGATGTATTTTGATTTTGTTTAAGAACTGCACCTATATATACAGACTAGGAATGATTATTAAGGTTCATATTTTACTGTTTTATTATCAGGTAAATGAGGCAGAAAAGGAGAGAAATGAGAGTGAGACAGAACATATGAAAACAATGCATAATTTTCAAGAATCTGATGAAAAATGCCAAAAGTTACAAAAAGAATTAAAGAGGGCAATTACTAAATCTAGGTAAATAAGACAATATACAATACTTACACATGAAAAACATGCTCAATCTAGGTAAATCAGACAACATACAATACTTACACATGAAAAAAACATGCTTATTCTAGGTAAATCAGACAATAAACAATACTTACACATGAAAAAAATGCTTAATCTAGGTAAATCAAACAATAGTGTTGTTCCATCTTTCCTTATTTAAAAAATCAGTTCTCCAGACTTTTTTCTTTCTCTGCATTTATGAATACAATATTTGTCTCGATTGTGAGGAATGTAGACAAATGCAAGACATAAGGATGCTAATCCAGCGACAATGAGAGCTTAAACTCTTTTTATAAACATTAAAATTTCAGAAGGTTGAAGACCTGAATACTTCATATCTTATATACAGATGCTTTATGATTTGAGGTTTCTCTCTGACATATGTCCATTACACTTTATCTTTAGCGTGCTTGTCTTGAGTGCAGGGGATCTGGGTTTGATCCAAAGCGTGGTCAAACTAAAGACTTGAAAATTTGTACCTGCTGCCTATCTGCATAGCACAATGCATTTTGTAGAACTTAAGACTGATGTAGTCAGAATAATGTGTCTTTAAAATTGAGAATTGAAATGGGGAATATGTCAAAGAGACAACAACCCGACCAAAGAATAGAAAACAGCCGAAGTCCACCAAACGGTCTTCAACACGGCGAGAAAATCCAGCACCCGGAGGCGGGCTTCAGCTGGCCCCTAAACAAAAATGTGTACTAGTTCAGTGAAAATGGACGTCACACTAAACTCCAAAACATATAAATAAACTTAAATTAAAAAACATACAAGGCTAACAAAGGCCAGAGGCTCCTGACTTGGGACAGGCGCAAAAATGCGGCGGGGTTAAACATGTTTTGTGAGATCTCAACCCTCCCCTTTTACCTCTAGCCAATGTAGAATAAACAAACACACAGCAATACACACAGTAAAACTCAGTTTAAAAGAAGTCAGAGTCCTATGTAAGAATAGGTAACAAAAGAAACTAAGCAAAATGACAATGATGGTTACATGCCATCTTAGGGACTGCTACCTTGTGAACTAGCACATTGAAGTTCTGACTTGGGTTGTAATCTTCTGCAATGCAGGATTCACATTCATATCACATTAACATTTTGTTGTCCTCATATACATGTAATATTTGCCACTGGACACTCATTATCATCATCTGCTTCAAAAACTTATCACTTCATAGATAAGGGATCAACTATGAGTTTTCCTGGTTAGATTGGTTTCTCAGATACTATAAGCAAAAGGTCAACTATGTTTTTTGTATGGAGTAATTGAACATGTCCATCTGACTGGTTAGTAAACACTGAAAGTTAATCATGATAATACTGACCTCAAAGTACATGTACAAGATGGTGCATCAGAAGATATACCCCTTGACAATGAACATAAAATTTCCCATAATTCAGTGATGTAAATCAATGAAATATCAGCTAATTATTTCTAAATGTATAGAAAATTTAATTAAACCGAATTGAAACTAATAGTTTTATAAACTTAGGGTTTTAATGTACTTATCTTTACGATAAATTGTTCAGATAAAACACAAAATTTGTATTCACAATTTCAGTACATCTTTAAGCTTTAATAGTGGCACATGCATTTTGACAGACAACATATTAGGCCACCTGTAAGAAAATCAATTTTGCTGTTATGACACTAACACAGTTCAAGTATTGAAATGACATTAAATAAATTTCAATGCCTTTGTTTATTAATGACCAGAAGAGTTTTTACATTGGTTTCCAATGTTATGCATTGCTTCACAAACAGTTTATAAGAGTTAATTCAGATATTTCTTTTATAACATTTAGGGAGTAGAAAAAAAGACTTTATTCTGTTTGTTATTTCTGATTATTGCATTGTTTTGCATATAGCAAGTACATTACTTAAAAGGAAAAAGACATTTAAAGAAAAAATATTTAGCCTCCCTTCACACATTAAACTGTCACCAGGTAACTGCAAGCAATTTTGTAATGACAACCTTTGCATGGTGAGTTCTGTATGTTTATTCAAGAATTTTTAATGTTACTTGTTTCAATTTCAATTCTCAAAATAGTTTTCAAAATATATTTTATTATAATAATTGTCATTTACACTTGCACAAAAAGCCAGCATGTTTTGGCAATATAGTATTAAACACAGACAATGAGTTTGTCATTTTTGCCCCTTTCTAGCCTGAGGACACAAACTCACTTCCTACAACTAGGGGACATAACCAACAGATATCAGTTAACTTTGTTGTAAGTATCAACTCAGCATGAACCATGTAAATGATACCTACTTCATATGTTGTCTTTGGCTATAATCTCCTGATATAGACCATAGTTGTCATCACAAATAAACTAATACTACAACTGCTCTTACATTTTAATGCTTTGACTGGCAAATTTGTCCAAGTGGCATACTATTCTTTCAAGACTAATCAAATTGTTGGAACCATGACCAAACTATTATTAAATTATCTGTCAGCTTAGTTAGATTAAAAATCTTCCTTTTTTTTTATCTTCTAAAATTAAACAATATCAACAACTTTTTTGTGCTATAGATATAAACATTATCATATTATGATATCCCTTGTCAATAAGTAAAGTAGTCAAAAAAATTAAAAAGAAACATTTATTCAGAGTAAATTCTGTATATTTATAGTGCTAATTAAATATATAAAGATAAACATGTTGTGCTATAGATCTATAGAGGAATATATATTCTAAAGTTTTGTTCTGTTTGTTTTTAGACCATATTTTGAGCTGAAAGCTGCAGTAAATCAGCAAATGGAGGTAGGTTACCTTGCTTATGTCTGAATTAACATATAATCATATCTCCATAACCTAGCTGTAATGTTAGGTCTTTTACACTGGGTTCATACCAGACCATTAGAGACAATTATCTGAGATATATCCCTCACATAGCTGTAATGTTAGGTCTTATTCTGGATTTATACCTGACCATTAGAGACAATTATCTGAGATATCTCCCTGACCTAGCTGTAATGTTAGGTCTTACACTGGATTTATACCTGACCATTAGAGACAATTATCTGAGATATCTCCCTGACCTAGCTGTAATGTTAGGTCTTACACTGGATTTATACCTGACCATTAGAGACAATTATCTGAGATATCTCCCTGACCTAGCTGTAATATTAGGTCTTACATTGGATTCGTACCAGACCACTAGAGACAATTATCTGAGAAATCTCCCTGACCTAGCTTTAATGTTAGGTCTTACACTGGATTTATACCTGACCATTAGAGACAATTATCTGAGATATCTCCCTGACCTAGCTGTAATGTTAGGTCTTACATTGGATTCGTACCAGACCATTAGAGACAATTATCTGAGATATCTCCCTGACCTATCTGTAATATTAGGTCTTACACTCGATTCATACCTGACCATTAGAGACAATTATCTGAGATATCTACCTGACATAGCTGTAATGTTAGGTCTGACACTGGGTTCATACCTGACCATAAGAAAAAATTTTTGGGAGACATCTCCCTCCCTTCCATGTTATGTTAGGTTCGACACTGGATTTAACCTGACCATAAAAGACAATTATCTGAGATGTCTCCCTCTCTTCATCGTAATGTTAGGTCTTATTCTGGATTCATACCTGACCATTAGAGACAATTATCTGAGATATCTCCCTGACCTAGCTGTAAAGTTAGGTCTTGCATTGGATTCTTACCTAACCATTAGAGACAATTATCTGATCCCTGACCTAGCTGTAATGTAAGGTCTACCACTGGATTCATACCAGACCATTAGAGACAATTATCTGAGATATATCCCTCACATAGCTGTAATGTTAGGTCTTATTCTGGATTTATACCTGACCATTAGAGACAATTATCTGAGATATCTCCCTGACCTATCTGTGATGTTAGGTGTTACATTGGATTTATACCAGACCATTAGAGACAATTATCTGAGATATCTCCCTCACATAGCTGTAATGTTAGGTTTTACACTGGATTCATACCTGACCATTAGAGACAATTATCTGAGATATCTCCCTCACATAGCTGTAATTTTAGGTTTTACACTGGATTCATACCTGACTATTAGAGACAATTATCTGAAATATCTCCCTCTCATTGCTGTAATGTTAGGTCTTACACTGGATTCATACCAGACTATTAGAGACAATTATCTGCGATATCTCCCTCACATAGCTGTAATATTAAGTCTTACACTGGATTTATACCAGACAATAAGAGAGATTATCTGAGATATATTTGCCTTTTATGCCATCACTCATATGAGATATGTTAAGATTCAGCAAATAAAATACTTTTGTATAAGAGTCGTATAAAAGGAAAGAAAAGTTAATTATCATAAAGCACCAATCATTCATCCTTTCGGCATGTGTTTTTTTTTTTCAGGAGAAGAAATTTAGAAGATAATTTATTTAGAAAAAAAACCCACATATATGTGTTACACAACAACATATGTAACACAAACTCTATAAATACAACACACTCTGTTACTCATACACTTCACAGACTTTGATGATCTGGGTAGATTTAGAGCTTGAGATGTTGTATGGGCATTTGTTTATTGTTGAAGATTGTATGGTGACCTCTTGCTATCTTTTGGTTTACATTTTTTGGTTTGGTTCCTTTCATTGACATACACCGAATATCTTTTTTTATTCATACATTGAATACAGCAATATTGGTAACCAATAAACCATAATTTAGGTAAAGTGTTTTACATATACATCGTAAAACAGATGAATATTACACACATACATTACATTTTCACCAAAAAAACCAAATACAGAACTTAAAAATAACACAGACATAATACAAAAGCAGTTTATGTTCCTTCACAAAACAAATATGATGTCCGTGATTCAGCAATGTGTTTTACATATTCAAATGAAGAAAACATACAAATTGAAAAGAAAGAAAATGCAGAAATAAACAGGATAAACTCAGTAAAATGTTCTAATTCAATGTACATATATAAATTATAGGATAACAAGAGGGCAATCAAGATATTGGAAGAAGACGTCCACTCTGCCAAAGTTATGTACTCAGAAGCTTTAAGGAATTTGGAAAAAATAAGTGACAGCATACATCAGCAGAGAATAGAAAAGCAACAACAAATAGAACTTGGAGAAAGAGGGGCTGGGGTAGGGTCAGAAACACCCTCGCCACCCCCAGTTCGTCAGAAGGACAAAAGTTCAATAGACGGTCAGAATGATGTCAGTATTAATACAGAAGAGTACAGTTCTAATCGACCATTATCAGGGTACCAACCTAACCAGTTCTCACTGCCATCAGTTATTCATGAGTCTGTAGAAAGGTCCAGGAACCAGAGCTATAGAACTGCAATAGAACATAGGACCAGTATAAAAGAACAGGATGAATTTCCTGTTCCAAGTTTGGAATCAGAATACATGTCTCTACCAAAGACCACAGAATATAGTGATAGAGATACAATATCTACCTCAGTAAGAGAACATGATAGGACAAGAAGAAATAATGCTATTCGTGGTAGTATTTCATCTGAAACTGGATCTCAAGAACAGGAGAGATCACCTTCAAGATCACGGAAGACTAACAAATTGAAAGGTGGACTTATTTTACGTATTGATAATACAATGGACCCCCTAGCTCAAATATATCAGACTGAGGACATACAGCCTACACGTAGACGAGAGAAATCCCAAAAGAGTATACATAGATCTCAGGCAAAGTCAGGATATGTTCAAGAAAATAGATCTCTACCAATAACTCCGACTCAATCAAATGCATTTTCCCCACCTAGAAGTTCCCCTAGTCATTCTAGTCTGTCATCAGCACTTTCTCTTCCAGAGGAAGACAGATCAGATGCTGAAAGTATAGCCAGTACAGGACCAATGCTGGATGATGATCAGGTTGAATTACTTACAATGGAGTTTTCAGAAGAAGTTTTTGCAGAGGAAGAGGCTAAATCTAGAAGACTAGATCGAAGTGATTCTCAACAGCTTAATCTACCACCTAAGTTATCTTATTTGGAAAAATATATCCGACAAACATCTCATGAAAATCTTGATAAGTCAAAACATGATGATACAGAAGATTCAACAGAAGATTCAACAGTCCAGATAACAGAGAAATTGACACGTATTAATTTAGAGGAAGAAAAAGTCACAACGATAAACAATACACTGACAGATGATAGTAAGGATGAGATAGTTAACACAGTCAAAGATAGGAATTCAGATTAGTTTTGAGTATCTGTATAGTGGTACATATGTTCATTGGTATGTCAGATTTAGTTGTGATATTAGAATTTGTTTGTAATTGTACATGTTATACATGTTATTTACATGTCTGTATTTCTGTAGGAAAATGGATCTGGTGCTTGCTTTTATCTATACCTACATATTTTATTGATAACAGGATATTTAATATACTTCCAAAATAATATGATTTTCCATATTTTTTCTTATGATGGAGAAAGAAGTTTTTCAAAATGCTTGCCTTGCTAAAAAATTGATCAGTTAGTATCCAATTTTTTTTTAAATTATGAAGTATATCTAGGCTTTAACTTTTAAGTTAAAATATTGCCCTATTTAATCCTATTTGACTGCTTCCATTTTAATGAAAATATTTAGTCTTTGTTTACTGGAGCTAATCTCAATGATGAATGCAATCATGTTGTAACCATGGTTCTTGGTTCCTTGACAGTGCAATCAAGAAGATATATTACAACCTCAAATTACTACGTTTGACCTTCATCTCACATTTAAAGTTAGGTGACAAAGAAGGCAGTCTTGTATAGTGACAACTTACAAGTAGAAATGGCAGTTGTATCTAAATTTGACTCCAAGTGTCATAGCAAAAAGGGATGCTGGAACAACCAAGCAATGGGTTAATGTTTTTAAACCCAAAGTCTTTGTTAATTGCATTCTGTATACATGAACTTGTGAACTTGCCAAAGACTTCGAAAGTGATTTGAAAAAAGTAATTGTTTGGTTTTTGGTCCATTGACTGTTTGCAATAATTTATCTCCATAATAATATTTGATAAAATACATAATTAATGATAGTAAAAGGAGTACATGTATGTTCAGATAGGTTGTATTTTATTTTTTGTAGAATGAAAATATCAGTTGTGTTGTTTTAAGAAAATATTTTTATCTCGCCTGGCTTAAAGTGTCATTTTTATACGACTTTGCGGTCATATATTGGTATGACGTTGGCATCGTCGTCGTCGTCGTCCGAAGACACATTGGTTTTCGCACAATAACTTTAGTTTAAGTGAATGGATCTCTATGAAATTTTACCATAAGGTTCAATACCACAAAAGGAAGGTTGGGATTGATTTTGGGGGTTTTGGTACCAACAGTTAAAGAATTAGGGGCCAAAAGGGGCCAAAAATAAGCATTTTTCTAGTTTCCAGACAATAACTTGTGGAACGGTGTATGGATCTCTCTGAAATTATACCACAAGTTTCCATACCACAAAGGGATGGTTAGGATTTGCTTTGGGGGGTTATGGCTCAAACCATTTAGAAATTAGGGGCAAAAAAGGGGGAAAAACAAGGTTGTCCTGGTTAATGGACAAATACTTTAGTACAAAACATAATTTAAAGCATTGTAAGGGAGGTAATTCATTTGAATTAACTCCCTTACACTGCTTTTAAATTATGTATAAAGTAATGGTTAATGAACAATTAACACAATTTAAAAGCAGTGTAAGGTAGGTAATCCAAATACAACGATTTGATTACCTCCCTAACACTGCTTTTAAATTATGTTTAAAGAAATGCATATTTAATATTTATAAAGGAAGACCAGTAAAAATATCTGCAAATGTTGCATCTTTTTTTTTTTACAAAAAAATCCATATGAAAGATTTAAATTCTATTTTAAAGCAGATTAAGTTAGCACTATGGTAAATTTAAATGGGTAATTATGGTTGCAAACTCCATTGGAAATTTGAATTGAGATTTTTTTTGTGGGGAGAGGGGGGGGGGGGTCAATTCGCAACAGCAAAGTGAATTGCACAAAAGCAAAAAATTGAATATAAATTCAAATCATGTAACCAATTCTAAGTTCTTTGACTAAAGTTATTCTGTGTCAGAAACCTTTTATGTGTCAAATATTTAATTACAATCCAAATTCAGACTTGTATCAAGCACGAATATTGCGTCCATTTTTGCCCCAACTGTTCAGGGTTGGACCTCTGCGGTCGTATCCAGCTGTCCTCGTTGAAGCAATTTATAAACTGTTGTCTTCATAATATGACTTCTGTCCAATTACTATTTCAAAAATGGGGATGCCAGTTAGACCCAAATATGTGTCATTTATATGATGGCAATGGTAAAAAGTTAATTGAGTGAATCAATATTTTTGGAGTCCTTCAATTTCAGATTTTTGTTTCTGTTATTTGAGAAGTAATCTAATAGATCAGAGCTACTTTTTTTAATGGATACATGTTGAAGATCAAGGTATAAAACCAAATCACAGCTAGAATTTTCATGATTTACTAAAGCAGTCAGCTGATAACATTGGTTACTTAGTTTCATCCATAACAAAATATGACTTTAATAAAATTGTAGATTGTTGATTATTCTATAATCCATCAAGTTATAAATATGCTGAAATGGTGTAAAAGACACTGGGTTTGATTAACTATTATCAAACTTAAGCATAAACTTTGACTTGTAGTACAGTTTACAAATTGCTAATAATTGAGGCTCATGATACTCGAGTACATGTATTTATATACTGGAAGATATTTTGAGTACAAGACGAGCTTTCACTCTACAACAGTAGATTCTAACTGAATCATGTATCATGTATTTCATATGATTGGATTCAAATAAAAAAAAAGAAAGCATTTAATATAGTAAATGATACGTATAAAGTTAGTGCAGAACTGTTACTCATTACAACAGGTCCTTTATAATTATAAAATTGATATTATCTTTTAAATGCAGTAAGGCAAGTATGGATTGAATGCTATTTTTACATATTTATCAAAATATTTTATAACAAATCAAAATTAGTTCAACTACTTAAATCTGTTTTTATAAATGGCACTGTCTTTGGTTTGTTATATTTCACATTTTTTTCTGTTTTGAATATCTGTGTATTATTGTTTATATTTATTTTGTGTATCTTACTGTTTATTGACATGACCTTTATAAACTTTATTATTTCTTAGTTCATTACTTGTCAATATTTTCTAATGTTCATGGGGAATATTTTTAAGGATTTATTTTATTTAAACAGATAAAAATCATCATCAGGATTAGTGGTTGGTGTCTTAGGTTTTCAAACATGCCTTTGTTAAAGTAAAAAAGAAAAATAGGAATTTTGCAATATGCCCTTGCAATGCAGAAACCCTGGATACTCTCCTCAAGCAAGATGAAAATATTAACTTGATTTGAAATATTACACATTGTAAAAATGTAGATTTAAAAAGCTGATTTTGGTATTTACATGTAGCAGTCTCAAACATGACCTTTAACTTCAAGTTCCTCAACAGGTCTGCCATGAAAATTCATTTCTGATTAATTTGTTTAAAAATATATGCAGAAACATGTCCTATGATATAATTTCATTGCTCAATCACCTCACCATATTTATAAAAGAAGATGAAGGGTATACATCAATGAGACAACCCAACTACAAAAATAACCAAAAGACATCTAGAGGGCAACATAGAGTCGTCAACAATAGACAAGTTTCTATACAATATGTCAAGCTCTAATTCTAAGTTATGAATAAATTTAACAGAATTAATCAAAGATCTGCCATTAAATCTGCCGGTTTATTACATGATTTACCTCAATCGGAAAACTCAAGAGTAGAAGTGATGACAGCCATAAATTGATGTATACATAGGATGCTTTATCAATTTCCCATTACCTTAAGAACTTAGTTTATGTGCCTGAATCAGCAGCCTGATGTTCAAAAAAGATAATGAATTCAACAACATTATCATAGACTCACATGCATTTAAATTCAAAGAATATTAAAGCAGAACTGAAGGGTTTGAAGGATCTGATGTATGTTTTCTTATACAGTATTAATTTCATATGTCAGTGGAATAGTAGCATGAGAAATATTTTTAAATAATTCTATTTTGGAATGAAGCTTTATACTTCAAAGGTCAGAGGAGCTTGATAATGCATATTTTGTATACAAATGCCTTTTGATCTGAAGTTTCTTTCTAGCAATTTCCTATGGTTTTTTACATGTACCTCTATACTAGCTGCGTAACCGCAGGTCCACAAACTGTCAAAAAATATCATAAGGACTTCAGAGCTACGGTTTCACAGCTACCTCTATACAAGTCTGTCCGATACTGTTTCCTTGACTTTTAACCCATTTAATGGTCAATGATCAATGTTTACCTTTTCAGGTCATTTACTCAGTTACTATACGTAAAAGATTAACTTTATTTGATCTATAGGATGATGTTAACATATATCTGACAGAATTGATCTGACTTTCATTCTTCCTTGCCAAGTTGGTCAATGTCAAGTTTTCATGATAAGTTTATTTTCCTGCTTCAAAAGTTGTAAGTTCTGTACTAGTATATTTGATCTTTAGAATTATTATAAGGTGTACATGTTGACCTTATTGTTATGGCTCATTGATCAACATTACGTTTTTTATTTGATCAGTTTTTCTCAGAAACTAGAACCCATAGGTCAGTTAGTTTGTTGCAGAGAATAAATGTAAGTTTTAAATGACCATGCTCATTTGACCTTGACATCAGTTTCATTGATCACATATATAATTTAAAGTTTTTGTTATACCTATAGTGCAACCTTAAACTCATACACTCTCACCTCAATAGGTCAGACATTATAGACACACTTGTTTAATTATTCTTAGATGAACATTTTCGGTCTTCATGTATTTTAACCGGATTACTGTCAGTGATATTTAGGATTATCCTAAGCATTTGATTCAACAAAATGATAAATCTTGTTCATATGCTGGCGATTTATAACAATAACTAGTAGATGTTTACAAAAAACGTCAACGTTTACAGATGTATTAGAGACTGAATGTTTTAAATAAACCATGAACAAAAATTATTTGTTTGTTCTTAAAACTCATAGTAATATACCTCCAATATGTCATTTGACTACCATACTCAAAACAAAAGTCTCACACAGATCTGTATTCAGTCAGAGATCACAACTGTTGAAAGGAGATTGACTTTATTTCAAATACTTTATTCTATTGATTGGTCCATTTAACAGTTTCTAAAAGGCATTTATATTTTGTATCTTATGGGGTTCATGAACTTTATGTAAATGGCTTATGCCAGAATGCTTATATCTGTCCATATTGGTAACTTATCATCAAATGGAGTGTAAAGGTGTTTCTGTAAAGTTGAAATACAGTATTATATATAGATTTATAAATATATGAAAGTAAAGCATTAGTTGCAATAAATGCACATGTATGCAAGAATGGAGAATAAAAAGACTCCACTTCAAGGATGTTAAAGGGGCATTATCTACGAAGTTGAAAAAAAATTAAGTTATGATTTTTTTTTGTTTCAGATATTTATAAAAGCAGTATTGTGTAATAATATTTTGCTACTAGCATTCGGTTTGGATCAATTTTGTCAAAATAAGCTAAAGACATGGCAAATTCACTATTGCAAGTCAATAATTCAACTCCTTTGAATCCATATTCATGCAAACTTCAATTTGACCCTTAACTGGAATTGGTTGCGCATGAGCTAAACAAGTTAAGTTCTTTAAAATTTACAAGAAACTTTTAAGGGCATAACAACCAAATGTTTAAGAAGCCGAATACATGAAATGTTTTGGTGCATAAAAACCACAAGTATGGGAACCCGATTAAGAATGTCAACATTGAAAAGTGAACAAGGTAGCCACTGGGAAGAACCCCTTTTGTTCACTGATTCTGCCCACAAAAAATCATTCTAATACAGGTAAAACTATGATTTACATAATTTTTTTAAATCTATGACATGAAATCAAACAGACCTAGAAAAATCTTCATTATACAATTGCACGTGCTTGCGTGTGTATTTATTATACGACCGCAAAAAAATTTTGCGGTCATATATTGGTATGACGTTGGGGTCGTCGTCGTTGTAGTCCTAAGACACATTGGTTTTCACACAATAACTTTAGT